TCAGCCATTCACGAGAGACTCAGATGCTGCCCAACTGATTAGAAGAGCACTCTCAGCTAGATTTTTGTTTCTACTGGCGGTGCACATTTGCACATTCCTTGGTGACATAAAAAATCATTCTGCACATGGGTGGAAAAAAATCCACACATAGATGGAAAAGGTTAGCGGGAACATTGCCCAGGACCTCTGAAAACTAGACCCTAGATATCTAACTTTGAGCAGCCAAAATTAGAGACCAAATTTTTTCAGTCCATGTTATTTAAAAACCTTTTTAGATCTCCTGTCTAGTAGGTGTCATTTGTCTTGTGCCTATAGGGCCTGCACCCTTCAATTTGGATTATCAGACTCTGTTTGTGGCATTGCATGTTCATTAGTAACAAGGATCAGAAACCCACAGTTACTAGTGTCCTGGAATATGGGATTTCCAGATCTCGTGCAGTGTGGCTCACCTAATGAACCAAGCTCTCAGGGGTGATGTTTATTTGAAAGTAGGAACAAAAGAAGCAAAAGACAATCCTCAATTACCAAACAAAAGATCAGTCAGATCAAGCAATGGTAAACCCTCCTCACCCTAGCCAACCTGGGCAATCCCCACATTTCCGATGCCTGAGCATGCAGCAAGGTAGGAGCACACATGAATCTTCACTTTGTTTCATGACTGGTGCTGACAGATTGGTGTCGACGATGGTCAGTCAATGTGATGGTAAAGGACAAAACCAATTGTTTAAAAATGACAACAGCAAGAGGAGAGTTCATTAAAATAACCAGTTCACTCAGGGAGCCTATATCTTTATTTGTCTCTATTTAAGCAAAGTCCCAATCTTATAATCCTTTCAATCCAAGTAATTATAAATATGGTTTCAGGATACTCATGAACAGCTCAAGAGTGAATCTTCTGCTTTTTAATTTTGATGTGCGGTCTATGCATGTGTGTTTCTATGGACCTTAACACTGGATCAGCTTACTAACGGAGCAGTGCAGCTTGTGCTGGGAATAGAACTGTACAATACTTTCTCTCTCTCTCTTGTGTGCCATCTTTGGGGGTAGAGAGCGTGCAGGCTAGACTAGCAGCAGGATGTGTCTAAGTGCTATCTAGTTGAATCCAAATGAAGGTCTGTTCTCTTTTGGTCTGATCTTTTTTCTGTTAACTTTTTCTCCTCCACCTCCTGAGCCAGGTTCAGAGAAACCTGTCAAATTGAGTGGTTTTTGATTGCAGGGTCTCCTTCTTCACTCCCCAATTCCAGCTCAGGTTTATTTGCCCTTGTGAAGGAAGAAAATATTTCATTCCCAGAGCTGCTGTGTTCTGAGAGAGGTTGTGGCTCTGGTTTGTCATTGCATCCTTACGCTTTCCTCACTCAGTATCTAGACAGCCTCCAAATTGCTGCACTTCCTGCAATACATTTGGCTGCTGGTTGTGTAGCTTACTGTCTCATGCCAACAACACATGCTGGGCTGTGGCTACCTTGCCAAGTGTCTTGTAGCTGCTCTGGCTGCCAGTACTGGGCAGACAACATCCCACGCTTTGGTACCTTCTATAGTGCACTTGGCAACAGTATATGAAACACTGGATTATAACCAAGAAGGTTAGAATTCACATGGAGTGAAAAAGGAAATCTTTGCATACAGCTCTGCAAAATTCAAGGGTTTCGTTGGCAAAAGTTTGTCCCAAGCGTGGCCTCTTTTTTCAGTCAGTGCTGATTCTCATCATTTTTTGCTTGCCCTTGCCTGAAAGTTGCAAGAGCAAGCTAGCAATGCTTTTCAGGATGGAAACACACAGCTCTCAGTCACCTTCAATGATCTATTGATGGAGCAGCAAACTATTGAGGGAACAGATTGCTCAGCCTGTGGCTAGATTAATAGAGAGGCAATCTGGATGAGATTTCTAAGGTTGATATCTGCGAAATTCTGAATCAGAACTGCTGCTGCTATCATTCTGCTATACATGGTCTTGGACTTGGAGGACTTGGAAACTGTTGATGCAGCTGCTGCCTGTTCTCTACCTAAATATGATTGTGTACAAATTGCTCTCTTGCCCATTGCCTGTGCTCCATGTTCCCTAGCTGTGCTCCGGTTTTGTTTTATTTTCCCTCTAAGGCTACATCTAGACTGAATTGCTTTTCCAGGATACTGGAGGGATCCTGGAAAAGCAATGCCACGTCCAAGAAACAGGTTTGCTTCCCCCCCCCCCCAAAAAAAATCGAAAAAGCGGATGCGCTCTTTCGCTTTCCCTGTAAACCTCATTCAATGAGGCATAAGGGATGTGTCAAAAGAGCACTTTTTTCGAAAATTTGGCACCATGTCAACACGCCAAATTTCAGAAAAGCCTCTTTTGAAAGTAAATCTGTGAACCAAGGCAAACATTTAAATATGTTTGATCATCTTTTAATTAACTTGGTATCAATCATAAATCTGATCAACCATTTCCTGAAGAAGAGTGTCACATGTCTGTGTTTTATACACACCTGACTCCACAAAGGTGAATTGTTTTGGAAGGGCCAGAAGTGCTACATTCAGGAAACATACCCACTGGCTACATCTACACTGCAGGCTTTTTGCACAAGAACGGCCTAGGAAGGTTGTGGAATCTCCATCTCTGGAGATATTTAAGAGCAGGTTAGACAGACATCTATCAGGGGCAGTGTAGATGGTACTTGATCCTGCCGTGAGGGCAGGGGATTGGACTCGATGACCTCTCAAGGTCCCTTCCAGTTCTAGTGTTCTATGATTCCTTCACTTTCTCACTAAGACCCCTATGCTTGCTTTCTGGTTCCTACTCCCACACACACACTTCTGCTGTCTTCCCACTAGCATCACTATGTCTTCATCTCTGTTCTTACAAGCTTTCCTATTTTCTTTTTTGTCAGCCCATTGCCTTCTTGATTGGATGGACTCACATGTCATAAGCCCTTAACTGCCATAGGAAGACTGTTGTTTAGTTGGAGTTGTAGGGTACCACCAATCAGTTCTGTAGCAGGCTGGATGGAGAGCTATTGTACTCCATCGTGCTGAGCAGCATAGTGATCATGATGAGGCCCTAGAGAGGTGGCCATGAATGTGTTACCTTATTATATCACACATAGCTTTAAAAAGAGTCCCCTTCGCTCTCTTGAAATTTAACATGACATTTGACAACTTCCTTCTTGACTCTGGCTAGCTCTACCAATCCAGGCCCTCTCTTCATACCATCCTCTCTTCCTCCTCTCTTCCATGCCTTAATACTACATCTTGGGTTCTACTTCAGCTACTTCATTTCCATTCCATGTATCCCTCTTTCGTATACTTTGAGACCCAGAGAAATATGGCCCTGTTCTGGGACTCAGGAAAAATGAATCTATGGGTGGTTCTGCTGCTGGCCTACTGGATAACTTTGGGCAAGTCACTTCACCTCTCCATGCCAGGATTCCTGCACCTATAAAATAGGAATAATGGTACTTACCTCCTTAGTAAAGTGCTTGGTGAGGTGCAGATAGAAAATGTTACCTAAGAGCTGTTGTTATTTATGTATCCCTTGTCTAGCTGCCTCTGGACATCTCACTCCACCTCCAACAGGCTCATCTCAGTCTATAGCTTCATGGTTTATAAACATACCCAGAGTATAGGATGGGTGCACTTTAGAAATGAAAATAAATTTTACCACCTCCCACCTACTTTTGTCCTGCTTGAATGTCTTTGATTTTTTTTTGTCATTTCCAGATACTCACATTGCAAACTACAAGACTGAGACCATGGGTGAAACAAGGAGACCCTATTCCAATGGGGCCTTGCAAGTGATTACAGTGAAAAGGAGTAGATGAGTACTGACAGCTATACAATCTGGTATCTGATGGTCTGTCCACATGTCTGCCATAAAATCCACAACTCTCTCTTATCATCCAAGTTCTTGCAGGAGTGAAGCTGGTGAGACCCAATCAAGAGAGTTTGACAGCTTCACCAGGCCTTTGGGCAAGGTGTGGGGGAACCAGCTCTGTGCTCTTGGAAGGGATAGGGCCTCAGGCCACCCAGACCACAGCACTTGGCACTCCCATATTTAAATTGCTTAGGGCTCCGGGCACCACCACTGCCACAGGAATAGCAGGCATGACTGGGATCACTGTCCCTTTTGAATAATGTGGTCCTGGGGCAGTTGCACCTTTTTGCCCCCTCGATCGGCAGGCCTGGACTCAATATAGTTTTGATTTTCAACAGAGAAATTGCTGCCTCTCTGTAACATTGTTCTATGCTCTGTGGCCTGGGTATCACTGCTTACACAACTGAAAATGGGTTTGTGTCTATGTATACTCCATTCTGTCTATTTTTTGGAATGAGAAAAGCTCTCTCAAGAGTCGTGAGAAAGAATATTTTTTTCTTCAAATGTTAAGGTGTTAATTGTTTGCAACAGCTGCCTAAACATCATCTCAAGGGAAGCCAAGTGGATCTGTTTTATCATAGCAGACACATTAGTAGATTAAGGTGTTGTAGTGCTAGCAGTGAAGGGGTTGCTTTCAGAAGTGTCATCATCCATTTTATCACTGTTATGTCACCAGTACTTCTTTCATTATGAGTAACCATTTCTGGATGATTGATTTTTAAGTAATATTGAGACAATTTCTCTGGATGTTATAAAAGTCTTTACCTCTACATATACTCTCATTGACATATTGCAGATGCTACTGTAGATAAAGGATCAAAGTAATTAGCTGAAAACCCCACAGAACACAGAAAACATGTTTTTTCTTTTCGTAGTGACTGGGGGATCTCATTTGGATTCTCAACGACCATGACAGTATTTAGGAAATAGTGGAGCTGGCTGGCAAATGGGAGAAAAAAATGTTTTGTGTTAAACTTTAAGGTTGCTTCCTTGTTGCAGGATTTGAAACTCCTGCTCACAGGGTGGGATGAAAGGGTCATTTGCCCCAGGGCCCAGTGAGCCCCAAGTCCAAACTGGGGAGGGCTCCGAAGTCCGTGCAATGCTAAGCACGCCTCTGCCCTTTTACCTGAATCCCCTCTCTTGCTGGGGGTTTGGAGCAATCTCCACTACCTTACCCAGTGGCCTGGAGTAGCTGTTGGCTCTACTGAACACAACATTTTTTTTCAACTTTTTAATCATTTATTCAATATGAATTTTTGATAAAAATGGTTACTGAAAATGTTTTGTTTACTGAAAACTGGGCTTTTGATAAATACAAAATTAGTAACCTTTTTGGTAACATTTTCAATTAAAATACAAATTAAACTCATACAAATCTTGTAACTTTTTTTGAATGTCAACATTTTTTGTGAAAAAAATTACTTTTTGGCAGGAAAAAGCTATTTTTCAACAACAAAAAGACAAAAACACTTTTTGACTATGTTTAGGAATAAGTACTTAGGTAATTTCATTGTCATAGTGATTGGTATAAGAGTACTACTAATTCCTACGTGTTGACCCTCAGAATATGGCCATGCAAAGAGCTAGCTTTTTACAGATAATAAGAAACATAACTGCCTAGTAGCTTAACTCCCCTTGATTTCAAGCACTTTTAATGGTGTCTAACTACCTTTAAAAATCTATCCTGAAATTACTAGTAGATGATCTAGTAACAGTATTACACAAGGTGGTCCAGTAAGGAGCAAGAACTTGTCTGATGCAGTACTAAAAGTTTGACTCTAACAGACAATTTTTTTCTCCTACTCATGTTTTTCTGTGGTAACACTGATTTTCAGATTCTGAAATCAAATTCAGTTTCACTGTTGCCTAACTCTTCCAGCAGAATAATAAACAGCAAGAGCATGGCATTATCAGATTTCTAATTTCCGCATGCATCAACTTCTTATTCCTTTAACAACACAAACTGAATGTCATTATCATCCCACAGGGAGCACTGTCAACTCGTGCCTGGGTTTTCTTAGCCATCACAGCACTCCTTTCTTTCTTTCTTTGTTGGCCAGACCACTGAATTTATTTTTCCAGTGAAGTAATAGGTAAGGGAAATCATGTGGCACAAGGAATGAAAAATACTGAAAGATATAAACCAAGGTATAACTTCAATATATTAAGGGAAATTGCTTAAAACAGGGATCTCAATTGATAGCAGGGGCAAATAATGAAATATAATCCTTTATACCCTAAAAACGACTAAAAAAATTAAGGACATTGTTTTTGTTAGGCCAATACCAATTAAAGCAGCAGAAAAGCTAAGAGATGAAATCTGAGGACTACTTGGTACGTACATAATAGGACTCAGGGAGTGAACCCTTCTTATAAGCCTGGAAACTAGGTTATATAAACACTTTTCCATGTGCTTGGGGGAGCGGACTGAACTCAACACAAAAAACTGCAGAATCTCTAGTGTAACGAACTCCTGGACTAGCTGTGTGTAATAACTCTCCTCCATCCCAAGGTTAAGAGGATAAGTGGTGAAATTTCATCTCAAGAATGTATTTCCCCTTCTATTCTATAATAGGAATATCTGTAGGTTATCTTTCTGAATCTATTCTCTTTAGTGAGACTTCAGATAGCCCATATTTTAGATTTTAATTCCTTAATAAGTCCAACCAAATTGGCCTAAGAGAAATTGAAAATTATTGTTTTAAGGAACTGTTCTTAATATTCTAATCTAGTGCCTTTCAGACCAATCTAGTCAAGGAGAATAAGTTCTTTTAAGAGAAGTGCACCCTTGGGAATGGGATAAATGTGTTAGGTACTGAAAAATTAAGAATAATTGACAATATTAAAGCTTGATAATTTTCACTGTTCTTTAATTTAACTGCTGTGCTTACATTTGAGTGGTGACATGTTTATTATATAGTAATGGAGTTCTGGGTGAATAAATAACTGGTTGGTTAGGTGAAAGTAAACTAGTTTCTTTATCTGTGAAATACTGATCAGGTTAAATGTTGACATGAAAAGAAACCCGGGTTGAATTAGTCAGCTAATGTTCCCTGGATTCCATACCAAGGAGTTATCCCACTAAATTCTACTATATGTTGGCTAACCTAATTTATTAGATTTCAGCTTTAGAATCTAACTGACACTCCAATAAATTCATAAATTGGCTTCCTTTCAGACTTACATTGATCTGATCTATAACATAATAGTAGCTGAGTGACACAGAAGGGCAGAACCGATAGTCCTATGTGTGTGATCTTAATAAGGCTTTCAAATCCATCTCTCCCAACAAGGGAAGGAAGAAATAAAAACCATAAAGAAATCATGGGAATATTAACTCTTCATATGGTTTTATTGTATTCTGCCCACCTTTCTTTGCTTCTGTCATTGGTTTAGGCAGGGCTTTTCAAAGGAGACTCAGTTAGGTGCCCAGTGAAATTAAGTGGCAGTTGGTTATGTACCTTGGAAAACTCCATCCTTTCTGTGGTAGTCCCTTTGTTCATCTCTAAGGGTATGTCTACACTACCCCGCTAGTTCGAACTAGCGGGGTAACGTAGGCATACCGCACTTGCAAATGAAGCCCGGGATTTGAATTTCCCGGGCTTCATTTGCATAAACTGGGCGCCGCCATTTTTAAATCCCTGCTCGTTCGAACCCCGTGCCGCGCGGCTACACGCGGCACGAACTAGGTAGTTCGGACTAGGCGTCCTAGTCCAAACTACCGTTACTCCTCATTCCACGAGGAGTAACGGTAGTTCAGACTAGGAAGCCTAGTCCGAACTACCTAGTTCGTGCCGCGTGTAGCCGCGCGGCACGGGGTTCGAACGAGCAGGGATTTAAAAATGGCGGCACCCAGTTTATGCAAAGGAAGCCCGGGAAATTCAAATCCCGGGCTTCATTTGCAAGTGCGGTATGCCTACATTACCCTCCTAGTTCGAAGTAGGAGGGTAGTGTAGACATACCCTAAAGCACCTAGCACACATTTCACCATAAATAAATAACTGTAAGGCTATTAAGCCTTTCCTTATCACTTGAAAAATAAAGCAGTAGAAGCCCAATTGGGTAAATATCACTTACTGCAAGATGTATATAGGGCTGTTAAAAGATTAAAAAATAATTGTTATTAATTGCAAGATTTAAAAAACTAATTGTGATTAATCACAGTTTTAAATCACACTGATAAACAATAACAAAATACCATTTATTTAAATATTTTGGATATTTTCTACTTTTTCAAATATATTGATGTCAGCTACAACACAATAGAAAGTCTCTTTATATTATTAGTTTTGATTAAAAATATTTGCGCTGTAAACAAGATAAATAGTATATTTTCAATTCACCTCATACACGTACTGTAGTACAATCTCTTTATTGTGAAAGTGCAGCTTACAAATATAAAATCTGTATTTTACATAAATGTGCTCAAAAGTAAAAAATATAAAGCTTTACAGCCTACAAGTCCACTCAGTCCTACTTTTTTGTTTGTCCAATCACTTAAGACAAACATGTTTGCTTACCATTTAATAGCATTTGTAAGACAAAATAATATAAAGTGAGTGCTATATATTTTGTATTCAGTATTGTAATTAAAATCAATATACTTGAAAATGTAGAAAACATTCAAAATATGTGTAATAAATGTAAATTGGTATTCTATTTAACACGGCAATTAAAACTAAGATTAATCATGATCAGTTTGCTTTGAGTTACTTACTTGAGTTAGCTGCAATTAATTGACAGCCCCAATAGCAATAATGTAACCCAGCAGAGAAGCACCTGGCAGAAAACAGACCATTCTGTGGAACAACTGTGTGTCTGGCATCACTTTGGGGATGCTGAATCAACAATGGAGCTGTTGGTATGCAGAACAAAAGGAGTCACAGCAGGAACAGTCACAAGACTCTGTCTTTCTCTCCTCACCCTCCGAAAGTGACATATCCATAGTGATGTCACCATTCCAGCCATTACATCATGTACGAGAAGCAGTGGGGAAAAGAAGCTGCCTGCCACGTCACCGTCCAGATTCCATTCAGCCACACAGTAGCCTATTTGTCCACTTTAGGAAACTCCTGTGGCAGTTCCTAGGTCATTTCAACCCATGAAGTAGGACTTGGCCTCATCATCATCTGAGGAAATAACTTGTGCTTTCTGTGTTTGTTTTCTCGGGCCCAACAGTATATGACTCTGTTTAAAAAAAAAGTTAACAACCTACCCTAAAGCCCATTAGGCAATGATTTAGGCC